CTAGATATCAGACATTCTGACAGCGATGTAAGTTGTTTCAGCTCAGATCATCACACTGATCGGTCGGGTCACCTCACCGGCCGGGTCACGGGATCGGGATCTGGCCACCTCTCCCTCTCCCAGCGGCCGAGACAGCGACAGCGGCTGGGACCGGGGACAGAAACTGGGGCTGGGGCAGCGGCTGGGACCGGGGACAGAAACTGGGACTGGGACAGCGGCTGGGAGCGGGGACAGAAACTGGGGCTGGGGCAGTGGCTCGGACCGGGGACAGAAACTGGGGCTGGGGCAGCGGCTGGGACCGGGGACAGAAACTGGGGCTGGGGCAGCGGCTGGGACCGGGGACAGAAACTGGGGCTGGGGCAGCGGCTGGGACCGCGACCGCCAGAGGTCGGGGACAGGGACGGGGAGGGGGGACGGCCCCGTTTCGGCTGAGTGAGGACTGAGGAGCGCCGCCCGCCGCCAGCCGTCTCCAGCGACAGCTCCCGTATCCGCACCGGTATCCAGCGGCGACTCCTGTATCTATGTACAGGTCTCGCGGGTTTTAAGGGTAGGTTTTGCCTTTCCGGCTATATCTTTTTCGTCTTCAGCTTTGTAGGCTTGAAGATGTGACCGATTTATTCGTATAGCTCCCTACCATGATCATGGAAAAAGGTTTAACCGTATGCCGGATAGTTTCGGAGAAATTTAAAGAAAACCTCAAAATCCGCCGTTTGGGGCATTCTGACCGCGGCTTCCCTGCAGTCGCCTATGATTACAGTGGCGCCACCCAACGGGTAGGACGCTGAAACACAGGCATGAATGAACCCAGCGCGTAGTAAACGTTGAATGGAAGCGGGACTCAGCAGAGGCTATCACTGCGGCCCGCGCGCAGGGCGTCCTTGGACAACGGCCGAGCCCTCGGGCGGTGAGGCTAGAGGTCACGAGAGCCCGGCGCTGTTTGGCGTGTAGGGAGGGGTGAGGCGCTCGCCGCCAGCCTTGTAGCTCGGCCGGTGTGGCATGTCTATGAAAGCAGGGGTTGGGAGGAGCTGGACCAGGGTGATAGGTTTAGGCATAGAATAGAATGGAAGCGTGCTGAGGCCAGTGTTACCAACAGAAAAATGGCCGGCTGCCAGTATTTTTTTTTAAAAGTCTCCCTCAAGGTCAAATAATAACCCCTAAATATATAATAATTAATGATCGGAAAAAGTAACCGCTATGGGCAAAATATTCCGGCAGCCGGCGATTTTGCCGTTGGTAAAACTGGCCTCAGATCAACTAAAAATATCTTTTGCTTATTAAAATGCATCTATCATTACGAAATAATCCACAATAATTTATTGAGAAAGATACAATGAATTGTATTTTTCCGATGTTACCGTTTTATAACAATTATTATTTGCACTTGAAAGGGCGGTCGAACGAACCCCTCCTCTCATTTTTCTCGAACAACTCGCCATAAGTGGCGGATCGCCACGTATGTCTATACAAAAAATCGTAGCTGCCATAGATCAGCATAGATGGGCCGAAAATGGGAGTTTGACAAATTTATGTCAATTGTGATTTTTTTTCACCGTAAGTTTTCCAAAAAGTCGAGCTATTGATCTGATAATTGGCATATTGATGGACCGCGTTAGCCCGCGTCCCGTAGGGCTATTGGCGGGCCCTACCACCCGTGGGGGGGGGAGGGGGGAACGTTTCGCCCCGCCCCCAAGATCTCGGAAAGTTACCGGCCGATTTTCAAAATTTAAACGGTGTTGGATAGCCGGCCAGGGCTGCAGAGTCGGAGTCGGAGTCGGAGTCGGAGTCGGAGTCGGAGTCGGTCGGAGTCTATAGTTTTGACCGGAGTCGGAGTCGGAGTCGCCAAAATCTTACTGACGTCGACTCCGGGGTCGGAGTTAATTTGGCATAGCTCAAAGTCATGCCCTACACATGTTTGCTTGGAAATATTATGCTCGTTGATGTTTCCAAACCAGACTTTGTCAAAGCTAAGGCAAGGTTTCTGTTTTGGACGATCATTTTCAGCGAAAAACCAGAAGACCGGTGGTGCTAGAAACTGCTTATGGTACTGAATGTTATTTTTTAGAGTATCTATAACTGCGCGATGTTAGGCCATGGAACGCGCGAATGATTGTCTAGGCAAGATAAAAAGACCTCCGACATGAACTTTTCTATCATGATATGGACTTATAGGGAAATGCCCGGAGTCGGAGCTGGAGTCGGAGTCGGAGTCGGAGTCGATTTTTGAAGCCGGAGTATTTTCGGAATATTTTTCTCTATCTTCAAAACTGCAAGGCCTGACCGCGCTTCCCGCGAAACCTTTTTTGTTGAAAATGGCAGAACATGACGTCAGATTTGCGGCCAACTTATCATAGCCTCTGGATAAATTTTGGCCACAATGTGTAACATTGATAACCGGAGGGGCCCTGAAAGTTTGGTGACGATATCTACAGTCGTTTAGGAGATATATACGGAAAAGGACAAGGGGACGATCCCCCTAGCCCTATTCCTGGCGGAGGGGGGGCCTCAGGAGCCCCCCCCTGAGGTTTTTTGGTTATATCTCCCAAACGCGTTGAGCTAGGAAGCTCAAATTTTCTGACTTTTCCTAAAAGGCTTCTACGCAACACGTCTGAAAATTTTGAGTTGATCTGACCTCAGGTCAGGTCACCAGAGGCGGTTTGGTGACGCTACCTCAGAAAAGTTTGCAATCACGCCAGAGCTAGAGTTTTTTACCGATCAATTTCTTCTCTTCAGGGTTTAGTTAGGGTACCAGTATGTGCAATTTGTATATCTCGGAATTTTGATATCGGTGACCTAAGGTCAGGTCAATTTCGCGACCTCCCCATTATAAGTCAATGGGGGAAAAATCAACTCCCTGTTTTTACCACTAAAACGGGTCGGAATGGCCCCATATACCATACATGACTTCATATACGATCAACCTTCACTACCTTGAGGTCTGTTTTGCTGTTGGGCAGCTGTGAGGTCATGTGACGTCATCAAAGGTCACCAAAGGTTTTTGGCCAATAACTCCGTACAGGAACAAGATACAGACGCGTGGATGGTCTCATTGTGTTCAGCTCGTCAAGACGCATCGAATGATATACATGATGACCTCGAGGTCACGTGACCTGAGGTCAACCTTTGACCTTGACCTTTCGAGGTCAACATATATATCATTCGATGCGGATTGACGAGAGGATCACGATGATGCCCTTAGTTTGTTCCTATCTTGACTAATTCGAAAGTTATTCGAGAAAAACTCTCTCCATATCTAGTGCCGCCATTTTGACTTTTTCGACCCCTGTGACGTCATCTTTGACCTGACCTGAAAATGACCTTAGTAAAAATTGTAGATCTTGGCCGTGCGTATCCGATGCCGTTTACCGCTTGTCGCTATCTTGCTTCGTTCTCGAGATCTCAGGGGGGGGCCGAATCGGCCCCCCCCCCCCGCCAGTTTCTTGTCCCGGCGGAGCCCGCCAGGAATAGGGCTAGGGGGCGCGGGCTAGGTTCTATATCATCAAGATTTTCTCGAAGTTTAGAAAACTTTCGGTTATTTTTGGAAAATAATATGATGATTGCTGAAATAATATGCTTTAATGATATACATCTTATTGTGTTGCACATTGTTATCTATGTTCAAAACTGTAGGCGTGGCAGCTATTCCCGCAAAAGTTTTTTTGTCGAAAATTGCAGACCCATGACGTTATTCTGATGTCATTTTTGGCCAACCTATCATACTCTCTGGAAAAAGACGGCCCCGCATGGTGTAAAATTGATGCCCAGAGGGTCCCTGAAAGTTTGGTGACGACTGACGATATCTCTAATACTTAGGGAGACATGGATTGAAAAAGGGAGAAAGGTCGTTTCGGACCCCTCTCCCCCTAAAAGTCGAAGGCTAAGGCATATTTATCTCCTATCATATGGTTTGATGCTTCTTTAAGCGACTCATATGGATTTGGTTTTAAAAATAACAAAGATAACAACAAATAACATTGGTGTAACCAGAACCCAAATGCCTATCTTTTAAAAATGATGTCAAAAATCCATAAAACATTTTCTGCGGTAAGCTTTGTGTCTGGTAGTTTTGGAACTAGAGTGCGGCAGAAAATAAAACTGTAGTGTGACACGATATCCGGCCTCATCAGGTCACGGATAATTAGCAGAAACGTCCCCAAGAAATAACAGCGCTAAACAGTCGTCTGCCGGCCCCATTGGTAACCGGCTAATACTATTCACGACCTTGGATCGGCACGCTGCCGGCTCACTCAGCCCGCTGGCTACGGGCGACCTTGACCGCTCAACACCGATTGGCCAACGGACGGGGTCGTGCGCCGGTCAGCACGTGGAGAGGACGGGGCACAGCACCGCACATTGTATGCGACCTCTGACCTTTCCCTGTCTCCTGACCGCATGACGGGTCGCCGGCCCAGGCGGTAGAAACCGGTTCTAGCCTCTACACACGCTGCCACCCTAACCCTCCCCTCCCCCACGCTACTACGTGATGTAGTACACGCTCGTGCGTAATTGGGCGGAGCAAAGGGTCGCCGATACAGGGGCGGAACTAGTTGCCCTCCCGCCCGCCGAGCGACCTACCGCTAAAACCCGCGAGACCTGTACTTACACCGGTATCCAGCAGTTCTCAGCGGACCGGTATCTGTCGGCGCGTCTCGAGTGACTGCCGGGTCCGCCGGTCGTCAGACTGTACCGGCCCCGTCCGCCGGGGGAGGGGTCGCCGTCAGTGAGGCTATATACCGACCCCGTCCGCCGGGGGAGGGGTCGCCGTCAGTGAGGCTATACCGACCCCGTCCGCCGGGGGGGGGGCGGTCGCCGCGCTGATCCCGACCCGGTCCCGCTGCGGGCTGTGGCGGCCAGCTCGATCACCGTACCGGTAGGAGCCGGTGGGCGGACCAGGTGGCCGCCCCGCCCCGTCCGTCTCGGCCTGCTGTGCCGCTATGGAGCCGCGTGCCAGCAGACCCGCCCCGCCGCGCCCCGTGTCTGGCTGCGACAGACTCAGTGCTCACCTCCGATCACGCCGTACACGAGCATCAGCCAGGCCACGCTGGGCACCGTGGTGGAGAGCAGGAAAGCCACGCCGGCCAGCAGGCCGCCGGCGATCGTCACCGGCCGGCAGCCGTACACGTTGGTCAGCCCGCTGACGATCGGACCTGCGGGCGGGTCAGCGGGTCAGACAGGGGGCCGGGCGGGTCAGCGGGGTCTGATAGGGGACCTGCGGGGGGCGGTCAGCGGGGTCAAACAGGGGGCCCGGGGCGGTCTGCGGGGGCAGACAGGGTGCCCGGGCGGCGGCCAGCGGGTCAGAGGACCTAGGGGCGGGTCAGTGGAGGTTTATTTGGCCTTGATGCATGAATTCCTCTATAATATTACCTACAGAAAATATCAAGTTAGTTGGGATCCAATAAATGGCGGCAAAACGGTTTTAATGCAGAACCTCGACTGCAGAGTGAGTCACATTTACACTGTGCATGTTCTGCACGTCGGTGCCGGTGTAATATACAGGCTGATAGGGACGTCCCAATATTGACTGGGCGGCGGCTGTCGGCTGGGCAGGCTACCGCTGCAGCCCCCCCCCCCCCTCAATGACAGAAGCTCGGCGGAGACGGCGGGTCTGCTCGGCGGAGTCGGCCGGTCTGGGCTAGCCCGCCCTCTGCCGGTTCCGGGCCGCCCGCTCCGCGCTGTGTGCCAGCCGACACAACCTCACGGGACAGAAGCCCACCGCCTCCCACACAGGGAGGCCGAGCCGGCGGCGGCACGTGATCTCAGCAATCCCCTTCAGAAGTTTGGCCGGCCACGTGACGGCATTTCGTAACGGAACAGGCTCCCGGAATTCGGTGTTGAGCGAGGAAGTTACAGCGTGAAGTCCGGCCCTGCTGCCCTGATTTGCAGGCGATGAACTAGCAATGATGCATGGAGACATGTATGCACAGCAGCTTTAACGTTGCGTCCAGTGTTTATCTCAAATGTCATAACTCGCTCTAGGCCCGCAGTACGCACTACACAGGCTCATATCGGCCTACAAGTTAGGTGCTTGGAATTTTAGTCTTTCGAGCTTTCCAAGCAGCAGAAGATATGACGTGAATATTTTAGGTACTACACTGCTTTCAATACTAAAAACGCGCAATGAAAAGGCGTGTCGAAGTGAAGCAGCTCCTAACAGAATTGCTCAGGCAAACTCAGAAGGGGTTAGAAAACAAAGATGTCACAAAGGATTGCAAGCAACGAAGTCTACCGGCCGGTTCCTGAACTTATTCACACGTAGGTAGGCATGTCATCTTCACGTCCTTGTAAAGATGCCACGACTGCGGCCTATTCTAACATGGTTACGTCATCTCTTTTGTAATGCTAGGCTCAATATTTTTAATCATCTATCTTCGTAGGTTTAGTGCTTTGGCGAAAGCATCGTTCTTCATTTATTTTCATAGATATATGCTCAATAGGTTTAGATATTATATGTTACCTACTACCCAGTAAACATGCCGACGTTGGCCCGACGTCGGCCGACGTCGGGGTGACGTCGGCAACTCGGCATCGGCATGCCGACGTCGGCCCGACGTCGGTCCAACCTCGGCACGACGTCGGCTGGATGTCGGATATGCCCGCATGTTCCGACGTCCAGCCGAGGTCCAGCCGACGTCGGGCCGACGTCGGACCGAGATCAATTGCTGAGGTCCAGCCGACGTCGGGCCGACGTCGGGGCGACGTCGGACCGACATCGGCCGCTGTTTTGACCGTTAAAATAATATAAAATACATGTTTCATGTTTCACAAAGAGCTTCTGTATTCAAAATATCCTCAGGAACTCAAATCTTCCTCCACGCCGCAACCCCCTGATCCGGACTGGACGGGAAACTTTATCCCATTTGGGATTGCCCGTAAGCCGAGCTCGCCCGTAGCCGGGTGCGGTGAGTGCTTGGGGGCTGCTCGGCCTATCCTTTGGTCAGGCTCAGCCCCGGCAACTCACCAGGGCCGGGCCGCGTATTCGCCAATAGTATTACACGAATCGGCCCGACCAATAGCGTGCCTCTTGAGTGACGTCAGCGTGGCGTCATACGTTCGGTCCTCGCCCTTGGTGGAGTCTATTGAAGCTAAGTTTTAACTTAATGACATTCAAACTCCAATGCACGTGTTGCCGCCGTGGCGCGGTGGTTAGAGTATCGGAATGGTGATATGGAGGTAGGTGGTTCAAATCCACTCGGCGACATCAATCTTCGTGTTATCTGTCATTGTGCGTTTTTTGGATACATTTGCAACGGCGTGCACCTAAGAAATCAGAGGTAAGCATTCTTCAAATGAATATGTTGCATACCTAAAAGAAATATTTGCAGTCCAACCGATTGGTTCGGTTTCGGTATTTTCCAATGGTTTTTGTTTGAATTTGGTTTGGTATCGGTGTTCTGATTTTCTGTGATTGACAATTGACATCACTAATGCATAGTGCATACTATGCGAACGTAGCCAATGGAAAGACAAATGGTGCTGGGCGATGACCATTGATCAATATTTCTAACTGCCAAGGTGATAGCACCGAGCACGCAGCTCCTGCTGGATATGACAGGGGTGGCGCTGACCTTTTGAAAGTAGGTGGCACTTGGCAAGGTAAAGTACCTAAAAGTAGCGAAAACTAAGCTAAAAATCGCACGCTGGTTAGCATGCAATTAGATAGTTTTCATGTAAGAATCACCATGCACAAAAAAGTTGGGCATAGCTGTTAGCGTAATCAGGGGACGAGATTATCAGTTTCCAGCCGTCAAAGGCGTCATCTATAGGAGCTATGCCTTAACTATAACTTTAACATTTCTGCCACCAGGGGATCGACAGTATCGACAGTACCGTAACACAATTGGTATTTCAGGTACAGACTGCAACTGCAGTTCTTTTGCAACTTATTCCTTAATCAGATGAATACTTGTCATAGATTTATTGGGCGTACGATATTGGCGTGCGAACTTAGGGCCTAGGGGCCAAAAATGCGTGTCTAAAACCGACTTCCTAGAAAAGAACCGCTAAAGAAGGAATCGATCCATCGTCCTTTCGCTCACCACACCGAGACTCTAACCACTCGGCTACGACGACACACTGTTAGCTGTATTGCCATATACAATAAAAAAAGTCTCAACTCAAATCTGGCCTCAATGCATGATTGTCACGTCGGATGGCTATGACGTCGCACTAGAGATGTCGCTAGTTGGTGGGCCGATTCGTGTAATACTATTGGCGAATACGCGGCCGGGCCCAGTTCATATAGAAAGGCCAGTCGGCAAGTGTCACTTTGCCAAAGTGCCACTTATGACTTATCAAAGGGACACTTTGGGAAACGTTGGTGCAGGTGTGTAAGAGTGGCTATATGAATCCATTGTGGGGTCGCCCTTTCCAATAAGTGTCACGTAACAGCAATGGCACCCAGGGCCTCCTCTAAGGATTTTTCACTGGGTGGGCAGAATTTTCGCCACTTCCCTGCCCAAGGGCGAATCCAGCCACTGTTTTGGGGTTCAACCAATTTCAAAACCTGTTACCGGGGGGGGGGGCGGGGTGAGGCGAAATAAGCAGCGCCGTTATTGGAAATAAGATGATAGTTTGCAAAGTTAACGTTTGTCGTATGTTTTATGGTTAGCGATGCTCGAGCGATTCGTTCCAGAGTTACATGTACAGCCCTCCGCAAACTGCGTGGTAGGTATTCTTATTCGGTATTCTTGCTATTTTGACAATATACCAGTTTTTGTGACTTGTGACCTGGCCTCGGGTCACTGGAACCTAAAACTCCAAGGCCAAGTGACAAACAGATGCTCCAAGTCGTGTCTTAAATTTGGTAGCGCTACGTGCTATAGAACTCACGCTATCAACGAAAAACTCTGGTGTTAGCGAGCAAATAGGCATTTTGGATACCTTCGCAAAGACGGCCGGCGCTCGGAGCGCGGCGGTCGGTCCGCCGCGCCACGCCGCTCACATATGTGTCATCTGGCCCCTGTCCTGGTTCTCATGCCCACGTGTTGTGCGTACCACGAGGGCTGAGACGGGACGGGGGCCTGACAGTCTTCGACGGGACTCCACCGGTGCGCGACGGCCCGGTGCACGACGTGGCCGACGTGGCCTTACGTACGACGCGGCCGACGTGGCCCTACGAGAACGATTCAGTGAACCGCATTTGTGACCGCCGTATTTTGTGCATTTTAATCGTTTCCGTTTCATTCAAGAATAGACTTTTACTTATATGAACAATAACTTTATGGTCCTCCGGGTGACGAAAGAGAACGAGTGAACGATCACGAGCACGCACGAACATTTCCGTATTGAACGGGTGAACTGTACGATTCTCACGAACATTCTGGTCCTCCGGGCCGGATATCAGTGAACTAGTGTGATGGATTTACAGTGACGACGCGGTGTTGTGAGCTGTGAGTACAATGTCTGACAAACGGTCACGACACGACAGTGATGCAAAATCGCATCAAGGTCGCCGGAGCTCATATCACACGAGGAGTGAGGCGAGCTTCAGTACGGCGTCCTCTGGCCTCAGTGAAGCCCGCCGCCGAGCTGCGCTAAGCAAGCTCCAGGCGGAACAGGTCCAGCGCGCCGCCGCCGCCAAGGCTGAGCTGGCCCGGCGTCAGGCGGAGGCGCAGGCGGAGCAAGCCCGACAACAGGCAGAGCAGTCCCGGCGGCAGGCGGAGCAGGCGGAGGCGCAGGCAGCGCTGCAAGCTCAGGCGGCGATGGATGAAGCTGAATACCGTCAGCTGGAGCTGGAGCTGCTGGAGCAGGAGGAGCGGGGTTCGCAGCACCCTCGTTCTTCCGCTGCACCATCCGTCGCCAGACTACCGGTGGTTGCAACTGAGCCACCGGCACCGGTGGACGTGTCTCGACAGACGGACGAGTCAGTCACGCGCACCCGACAGTGGCTGGCTCAATCTCAGCTGCATGTGCCGCCAGTGGATACGGCTCCTGTCGGCACCCTGCCTCCACCTGCGGTGCGGCTGCAGCACCCGTCCCGTGACGACACCAGAGCGGTCCCACATCTGCCGCGCATCACGCTGGAGAAGTTCGGCGGCTCTGCCATCGAGTGGCCGCGGTGGATAGCCCTCTTCAAGGCGCTAGTGCACGACCGCGCCGACCTCACCGACGTAGAACGGCTGACCTACCTGCAGACTCACCTGACGGG